CTCCACTGACCAAAACAAGTTCTTCCTACAATTAGAGATGCAGAACCAATACTGCTATGGAATAGTGACCTGGATTCTGTTCCGTTTCATGCACCATCAACAAAACTGTCAACCAACTCAACTACAAAAACCTTTATTACTGGTGATGTCTGAGAAGGAAAGAACACAGCTTGATATTTAGATCCCAGGATGGTTCTCCAATGCTGGACTTCAGATTAGTCATTTGTGTACTAAACACACTGAATCCAGAAGTCCACGAGAGAGAATAAATATGGAACCCCCGACAATTTCGTTTTTACAGTCACTTTTCAGACCATAGTCACTTTCCAATGTTCCTCTTGTAGTACAGCCTCAACCAAACTAGTAGAACATGCAGTTGCCTAGAACAGCAAAAAATGTTATCTAGGGAAGTAGAGACAGAGCCGTGCAGGGGAAAAGGGGTATATCCACAGCATGGTCTTCCCTTCTCTTCAGCACAGGGTAATCCTGATTACCTGCACAAGGACAGGAGGGAGATGGGCACAGCAGGATACAGCCTTCAATTATTATTGATATTGCAGTAGCACCTAGAGGTTCCAACCAAAATCAGAGTCCCGTTATGCTAAGCACGGTCCAAACACACAGTGAAAGGCACTCCCTGCCCTGAACAACTCTCAGTCTAACCAGAAAAGATAAAGGGTGGGAGGAAAAACAGAGAGGTGGAGAAGTGTCTTGCTCAATGTCACACAGTGCCAGAGTCAGCAATAGAACCCAAATCTCTCAACTCCTAGACCAGCGCTGTAGCCCCCAAGCCCACCACACTGCCTCCCAAAGCCTGGGAAAACAAACAAGCCAACAAAAACACAGATGCTTGTTTTCATACAAACATCTGAGGTAGGGGTTAACTATAAATACACAAGCCTCTGAAGAAAAACTGCAGTGCCAGAGAATTCAAGGTAACTATTGCCAATGTTTCTAACTGCTTCCATTGCGGCTATGTGCCTGCTTCACAGCAGCACCGCGTGAAGCCTCTTCTCCATTTCATTCTCTAAAGCTGAAACAGCAAGCTTGTTCCCGTGGCTCATTAGTGTGGTACAGGTGTTGTGAGAGAAACCTGAGAGAAATATTCATGCTGCTCAGCTCTCAACTCATTTGTTTTATAATGGATGAGCTCTGCACACCACTTGAAAGAAGCACCTCTGTCCAGAATGTTAGACACAGCATCTTCGTGGGTTATTTTAAAATATAATGTTCTTTTCAATCATTTGGCCTGGGGGCATTGAAAAGTCTCATTCCGGCTCATTTATACCCCAATGTCAGTTCATCTGCATCTCTGGCCAGAGATATCATTACTAACGTTTAGCTTAAAGGATAAAACAAAGAAAAAATGCCTTCAAAGAAAGCTTGGCTACAATAGATTTCTCATTGCTTTATAAAAATATGCCTTTCCCCATAGTATAGCTCTGCAATGTCTTTCTAGTTAAACTAAAAATGGTGTGCTTTTACATTCTGATGCAAAATTCATCCCTCTAACAACGTCACTTGCTAGATTTCTAACCCCATCAAGCCCTTCTCCAGCCAACCTTGCCCCCCGGTCCACTTTTCATTTAGAAAGTAATAAAGCTGACATGAAAGCAATAGCTTTTGTTCTTCCTGTGCGCTGCCACTTTCATGATCTCCTTGGAAAATGCAGAATTGAGGGGAAAATGGCATCACAGCGTTCGACACGTACATGTCTGTTACAGCTGTCCCCCTGCTGGATTCTGAGTGGCCGACGCCCCCTCTGCCCCCGGACATGGAACTGACCAAAGTCACAGCCTGGCCCTGCTCATGGAAATGGCTTGTGCAGACTGACTGGAGCCATTGCTCTGCTCAGGGAGGTGGGGGCTTTTTCGCTCCTTTGTCTAGCTTCTTTGTTCGGACCCTGCTCGGTGTAGGGTGCTCTGCCCAGGTATGCAAGACCTAAAGTGGCCACATAGCTGAGCATATGAGTCATACCTGTGACTCAGAACTTGCCCAGACATGTCCTGTGCCTACCTGCAGTTTCCCTGCCTTGTCTCCTCCCCTGGATTAAGGGGAACCAATCAAAGTTACTGGCGGGAAACTGCCTGAGTTTGCTCTTAAAACCAGACATTTTCTGATCAGACCCCCAGAGAAGGTCCTTGCTTTGCCACCTGGTCTGGTCAGCTAGGGGTCTTTGGGGGGCCG